CGTCCGTAGTCAAAGGAAGTACCACATTCTTCGAGACTTAATGAGACAGTCGCGCCCGCGGTGATCGTGCGCATATAGAACCTTTATAATTCTTACTCAAACAACAAATCCTTTCAACTTGAAGCGAGTCACCCTGGATTAGTTAATAAAGCAGTCGTACCGCAGGGCGCTGGCCATCGTGTGCAGCTACCAAAAAGGTGTAATTTTTCTGAGTTCCATACACTCTTGATACTAACATGTGTATTTGCAAATGACAGCTGAATTATGTAGCAATTCATACTTCATAGCACAATTTCCACTTTAGTGCCCCACTCCTCAAGAACTGGGCTGGATTTTGGTCGAAATTTGTGAGGTGAACATGAGTGAAGATTTTGCCAGGAATTTGTATCGGCGATTACCTCAACCCGTAGATCACGAATATCGCATCGATTTAGCGCAGAAGGCCCACCGCCCGCGCCACGCGTCGACGATCGCCTCGTAGCGCAGGCTACAGGCTCACTCACAACAAACTAGCGTGATGTTCATGTTCTAACTACCTCTGACCACATGTTTCCAGCAAAGGTGGTTATCCAAGGTGTTTTGGCGCTCTCTGGCGCAGGCGGCAGCCATTCTCGCGTTGAACGAGTGGCATATTCGTGTTCTACGGGTCAAATAACTCTCGAAGGGCAGCTTTGAAGCCAAATCCACGGTCATCGACAAATTTTGATAAAATCCGGCTAAGTTTTAATGAGGGGGCAGTAAGTGGTAAAAGTGCCTCATTTCATAAATAATCATTCGAGCGGAAATGTTGTGGTGACAAGCGGGGTCAAGCCTCGCGTCGGATCCAGCGTCATCAGCCAAGTTTCTCTAGATGACTGGCTGATAGCTTCGGCGCAAAACACATCGCTGTCTTAATTTAGGAAAAAAGTCGTAGTCTAAGGGCTAAATTGTGTGATAGGTAGTCAATATGAGCGTAGATGTGCCGTTTGGATGATATGATAGCAGGAGCCACCGTGCAGTCAGAGCGAATTTCTCGATCTGTCGAAAACAACGCACCATAGTTGTCTCAGAAAAGAATATCGAATTTCTTAGCGAAGTTTGCGCAGGTAATTCACTCATATCCGCTCCAAATGGCTATAATCCGGTTCAAGTGGCTTTCAGAGGGTGCGTATGGGGTGTTCATAGTTGGCGATCGTGCGTGCGACTAGACGATTAGGCGCTCAGGCGATTAAGTCTATAATGAAAAATATACGTATAGAGATTAGGCGAGTAGGCGATCGCTCAATGGGGGAGCAATAAATCAATACGTATCCTTCCTTTATAGAGCACTCAGCCGCACTCGCCTGCTCGACTAATTCGCGCGTGCGGAGCTAAACTGGTTAATTGTGATCTAGCAACTCTCCCGTACCGCTACTAGGAAATTGCTGTGCGGATCTACTGGAGTTGTTGTGATAAACGACCATATCACATAGCTGTAACATCGTAAGAATAGGGTGTGGTAGGGTTCATTCTTAAGAGTTCTTCACTCGCAGGGTGGTCAGCAGTTCTGCTGCTGAGGCACGGCGCGTGTTGGTAAGTAACGGACGGGCTCAGCCATTCGACCAGCCATTCAAAATTCGATTTCAGAGCCAACTTGTTCACAACCTCACTAGAGAACATGGCCGAATACGAACCGATTGCAGCCGATGCAGCTGGTGCACCTCCTCCGCCGCCGCCACAAACAACTCGGCCACCTGTGCCTGGAGCTGCACCACCATGGCCGGCAGCTGGTGTACCTCCTCCGCCGCCACAGACGACTCGGCCACCTGTGCCTGGAGCGGCGCCACCGTGGCCTCCCGCTCTACCTCAACCTGCCCAACCACCATGGTTATCTGCACGTCCAGCAGCACCTCCACCTCCACCACCACAACCGGCCTTCAGCCCGTTCCCACCTGTACCTGCACCTCCTGTGCCAAATTTACCTATGCAGTCTATACTCCCACAACCACCACCGCCCCCTCACCAAGCTTTTCCCCAAGGACCTATACCACCACCAACTCTAGCACCCTTTCCTCAGGCACCTCCACCACCACCCCCTCCACCACCCCCTCAGCTTCCACATCCACCGCCCGTACCGATTCCCATGCCTTTCCCAGCAGCCCCACTACCGCCACCGCCATTACCACCACCACCAGCACCGCCTCTTCCACCACCGCCCTTACCCCAGTCGCCCTTACCACCACCGCCATTACCACAATCGCCCCTACCGCCACCGCCACCATTACCGATTGCGCCAGCTGCTACGCCATCTCCTTCTCCTTCCCCTACCCCTTCTCCCCACTCCCCACTATCTCCGAACTCTCCCCAGCTAACTCCAGAACAAATGGCAATGATGAATGATCCATTCTTCGCCTGTCCGAAACCAGGGTGAGTAGCATGAGAAGATGCAGAAATTTCTAAGTTTGATTGGATGGATTGAACATTTTAGTGAACACAAAAAGGCTTCGAAGGCGGTCACAAAGGAAAAGTTGCCGAAAAGTAAGTTGGACGCGCACTGATTTCGGGATAAGCCGCATTCTACCCCAATTCATAACCTCGATTTGTGGTTATCACAATGGTTTAGCATAGAGTATTGATTGCGTGCGAAGATTGATTTCATTTTTCGCAGGTGCGACGAGGAGAAAGTCAAGCAAAAGATAGCTAACGGAAGCAATGAGGTCAGTCGGTCAGATCGATTTGAATTTCGAGCCCCAACGAGCAGCTTCTTGGCAGGACCTTCTTCAACAAGATACTGTAAAGGCGTATGTATGAAATGACGTTTTCAGGTGAAAACCAAACTGATCAACAATTAATTTCAAGATACTAGGAGCTCATTATCAATACTCTTAAAATTTCCAATAAATGTTGCATTGGATGCTGTTGACAGTAAAGAAGGGATATTCAGAGCCAAATACTGGCGCTGGTGTACCTGAGCGGCGGGGAGGTGGGAAGGGCGTGGGCATCACTATGCAGGAACATGCACCCAACACCTTCTCCCCTTCTAGGTTCGAGTCTGGGGAGAGGATCAGGGGATGGGTTATGTAAGCAATTCTCACATTCACCGATGTTTCTCCCTCTTCCTAGGCTCAGACCGCATAATGATGTCCCCCCTAACTACACCAGCAGCACAGATCCCTTAAAATCGCATAGCACAGCGATCGAATGGGCAGAGATTGCTGCCTTCCATCGTACGTGACATCGAGAGAAGGGGCCGAACAATCGAACGGTAGCCAATATGGCCGTCTCGTTTGTTAGCTTCATTAAGGGTCGATCAACTACCACATCCGTTCCCGTTGCAGGTGGAGTAGCTCACATCTAGGTAGTCATCAAATAAGCCGGCGCTATCGCAAGATACGGGGCATTGTGACAGCAATGTATTCAAAACCGCGTGAAACATCTCCTTTTCGTTAAAATCGGGACTGAGCCTTTGGCGGGGCAGGAGAAACACAAGGTGCGTGAGCAATTTTATATTTTCCTAACCATAATTTCCTGGCCCTTCGTAGGCTTTGTCGTAGAGGATGCCCGCATCTTGCGATAGCGCCAATAAGCCTTCAAGTTGAGCACATAGGGACTAATAAAACGAAAAATAATGGAGGGTTCTATAGTTGGCGATCGTACGTGCGATCAGGCGATTAGGCGATTAGGCGATTAGTCTATAATGAAAAATATACGTATAGATTAGGCGATTAGGCGAGTAGGCGAGTAGGCGAGTAGGCGAGTAGGCGATTAGGCGATCGCTCAATGGCGGAGCAACAAAATCAATACGTATCCTCCTCGCCTTATCGCCTACTCGCCTACTCGCCTAATCG